GTCGTGGGGGCGAATTTTGGTGGTGCTGCGCGGGAAGGTGGCGGCTGCAGTTTCTTTCTGTCGTCCCACCCGCCTCCTTCATTGCGCTTCACGCGGTGCAGGGGAGTCCGGCGGCTAAAAGGGGCACTAAATTAAGGCTGCAGCTTTGCTACTTTACGACGAGTTTGGCTATTCTCGATTTATTTGTCTGATGGCTTTTGTTGCGTGTGCATGAGTGCTGGATAATTTTTCTTTGGAGCGCGTTGATGCAGAGCGATGTGTGATTAAATTGTCTTCTCCCATTTTGTTGTTTTTTCCTCCTCTCACATTTCTGAGGAAAGGACGTCAACGACCTCATCTAAGCAAATGTTCATTTCTTGTTTCTTTTTTTTTCTTTTTCTTCCTTTTACGTTTGAATAAAATGGACGTTTCCGCCTTTCTGAAGGAGTTTTAATAGGGCGAGGAAGGAATCTGGCGGCAGCGTTCCTTTTGGTGGCGAGGAGAGCGCGGGTGCCGCAGGTATAACAAACGCATTTTCACAAAACGCAACAACAAGTGGACGGATTTTATCTCCGGATGACTCGGGGGAAAGTGAGCAGAGCATCAGCGATCGTGAAGCCGAAGATGCGCCGCCTTCATATCTCTGAGAAGCAAGAGGCAACGGTGTGAAGCATTTTGGCGGCGCACGCAGGAGGGAGGCTTGGGCCGTTCACGCGTGTCTTTTACAGAGATAAAAACGTACCGGACGAATCAGTGTCTAAAGACGGACAGCAGCATCCCCAATGCGACAGTTCGGAGGGCAACTCACTCCATTCCTTTACGAATAGCAGCCAAGAGGGGTGGCGCGTCAACCGTTAATAAACTACGTGATGAGCTCTTGCGGAAAAAGAACTCTCTCAGTCAATCATTGGTGGTGAGGGAGCATACAGGCAGTTGTTGTGCGGATGATTCTCGGGAGTGTGCATTGAGCACAGGCGCTGAGGAATTTCTTGTCTGTGTAGATGATCTTGTTGCCCCTGAGAACACGACTATGGATCAGTCTCCCTTTTTTGATTGAGGATCATGCGGCACGACTGCAAGCCAAAAATGAGGGTGATGTGGCCACAGCCACACCGAAATATTCCACGGAAGAGCAGCAGTCTTCTTCTCTTCCTCCTCCTCTTCCTCCTGTTGAGGTGGAAGTGTGCCATGAGAAACCCAGGACTGAAAGAGTGAGTTTGTTTGCTCGAGCAAAGATGTACTCTGGTGCGACTGCCTCTGTTGTGAATAGAGAGTCAGAGGTCTTAAATACGAGAAATTTTTGAAATAACTAGATTCTGACGTGGAGAAAACAATAACTACCACCACCACAAAAAATGGGTTCTTTTGAGATAAATTGGAGTTCTTTCAGTTTCTATGCATGTGCTCATTAGGGAGGGGCATTGAGAATGATCTTTGGGTGCGGAGGGATTTTGGCATCACCGGAGTCAATTCTTTTTGTTCCATTTATATTTTCACGATGCCGTAGAATGGAGGAGAGGGGTGAAGAAGAGAAAAAAAGAAGAGAGAGGTGGTCGCTTGACATGGATCGTTTTATTATTGGACCCCCAATTGGTGAGGGCCGCTTTGGCGTCGTTTGTGCTGCAGTTGCTAAGGAATCTGGAATGCCAGCCGCAATCAAATTCGTCACAACTCCACGTCTCGATGAGGGTATTCCGCATCCCACAGCGAGGGAACTACTTGTTGCAATGCGATTGGTGCATCCTTTTGTTATTCGGACATATGAGGTAGTTCCGTGTGGCTGCTCCTTGGCGTTAGTGATGGAGCGTTGCAAGACTGACTTGGCAGCAGTCCTCTCAGGGAGAACTGCCGGCAATCCTCTGCCCGCGTTAGAGGCAAAGTCTTTATTTAAAATGCTTCTTTTGGCGTTGGCGTACATACACAGCGAAGGTGTTCTTCATCGAGATGTGAAACCTTTAAATTGTTTCTTGACTGCGGAGGGGGAACTACGCCTCGGCGACTTTGGACTCAGTCGTGTATGGGATACGGAAGCATCCATGACTCACGAAGTCGTTTCGAGGTGGTACCGAGCTCCCGAGTTACTTCTGGGCCAGCGACACTACGGACCCGAAATTGATGTGTGGTCATCAGGGTGCGTATTTGCGGAACTTCTACGGGGGCACAGTGGTGCTCTTTTTGCAGGCGATGGAGATATTTGGCAGTTGTCACGAATATTTGATGTATTAGGGACACCGACGCCCACATCGTGGCCATCGGCGGTGCTGCTTCCCGATTGGGGAAAGGTGCACTTTGAGCCGAAGCGTCCTCTTCCTCTCCGTGAATATTTCCCGGATGCCTCTGAATGTGCATTGGATTTGTTGCGAAGATTACTTTGCCTGGATCCTCAAGAGCGTTTGACTGCGGCTGGCGCCCTTCGTCACGCCTACTTTAGTGAATACCCGACGTGAAGGTCCATGGATAAAGGGACGCGGGGGCTATATGTGGTGTGCGGGGATGAAAATTGGAATTGCTCGTATAAATGCGTGCTTATTTTCCTTGACAATCCTTTTTGGTTGTTGTTGTTGTTATTTTAATGGGTTATTATTATTATTTTGATTATTGTTTAAATTTATTTTTATTTTTTAATTATATTTTGGATTTGTTCTTGTGGATTTTTAACTGTGAAGCCCAATTTTTTGTCCAAAGTAAAAGAAAACTAACGCGTGTGCGAGAGAGAGAGAGAGAAAGAGGGTGACGAGCACATATCTAACATAATAATGTATCGTTGCTTCCATCATTTCTCCACGTTGCCACTGGCGTTTGTACGGCGGGCTGCTGCAAACATTTACGTCAATCGCCATATTGGACCATCAGCGGCAGAATCAATTTCTATGCTTCGAATAATTGGCAAAGAAAGTCTGTCGGACCTCATGACTGCTGTGATCCCAGAGAATATTTTGCGAATTCCTTTAAAAGAGGCTCCGGCGATGAGCGAGCAGGATGCCGTTTCGCTTCTCCATTCACTGGGTTCACGGAATAAGGTATTAAAGAGCATGATTGGGCAAGGATACTATGAGCCAGGGCACACCACCTGTAATGCTTTGTAACGTTATCGAGAATCCTGCATGGTGCACCCCATACACTCCTTTCCAGGCTGAAATAACTCAAGGCCGTCTAGAGTCCCTGTTGAATTTTCAGTCCATGATTATAGAATTGACAGCTATGAATTTGGCAAACGCATCTCTTCTTGATCAGGCTACTGCATGTGCTGAGGCAATGTACCTTGCCTTTCATCACGGTCGAAAGGAGCGTATGACCTTTTTTATTATTATCGAGGGATGCCTTCCCATCTTGCGTAGAGATGGTGAAAACGAGAGCTGAGCCCCTTAAAATAAAGGTTTTTGTTGGTGACCCAAATTTGATTGGAGCGATTCCTCACTTTGTGGAATTTTGGTACAAACTCCAGATGCCATGTGGATGCTTCATGATTTTACGACACTGTTTGAGAAGGCAAAACAACACGGTGCCGTCAGTTGTTGTGGGACAGATTTGATGGCTTCTGTTCTTCTCAGACCTCCGGGAGAAATGGGAGCCGATGTTGTTTTGGGATCTGCCCAACGTTTTAGTGCCCCACTAGGGTTTGGGGGGCCTCACGCCGCATTTTTTGCTGTCAATGAGGAATTTAAGCGATTGATTCCGGGTCGCGTCATTGGTATAAAAGTAAAGACTCGACGGGCTGTCCGGCCATACGCATGGCGCTTCAGACGCGGGAGCAACGTATTAAGAGGGAACGCGCCACATCCAATATTTGTACTTCACAAGCTCTCCTAGCAAATGGTGCGGCATTTTATGCCATTTATCACGGTTCTGAGGGCTTGAAGGAAATTGCGAGCGAAATGCACAGTAAAGCCAAAATAATTTCTGTTGGTTTAGAGTCTGTAGGGCATACAGTGGTCAATGGTACATTTTTTGTTACCGTCACCGTAAATTTAAAAGGTATAACGCCTGAAGACTACGTGACATGCTGCGTGGAAAAAGGCATTAATATTTTTGTTGATTATAGTCATGGCACCGTCTCTATATCGGTGGATGAGGCCACTACCGAGGGCCATGTAGTGTCTCTCTTGGAGGCAGCAGGGCTAAAACTTCCTGTGATAAGTGTCCTTTCAAAACTCGCAGAACAAAAGAGAGCAATGCCTTTGCAAATGTTACGGAAACATGTCTTTCTTGGGCGTTCAATCTTTCAAAAGTACAAAAGTGAGAGTGAGCTTATGCGGTACCTTCACCGTCTTCATAGAAAAGATTATGGTCTCATGCATGGTTGTGTGCCCTTGGGTTCTTGTACCGTGAAACTTAATCCAGCTGCCGCCATGTTGTCCTTGTCGTGGTCAGAATTTACCAACCTTCACCCTCTTGCACCGACGGAGCAAACGCGGGGATATAGTGCGTTGTGTTTGGATCTGGAGCAGAAAATAAGAGATATTACCGCTTTAGATGCCGTATCGCTTCAGCCAAATAGTGGTGCTCCGGGTGAATATGCTGGTCTTCGTGTGATCCGCTCGTATCATAATTCAAAAAGGGAGAGCCATCGCAATGTTTGCTTGATTCCAGAAAGTGCTCATGGCACAAATTTTGCTTCGGCTCTCTTGGCAGGGACGGTGATTGTAAAGATAAAGTGTTTGGCGGATGGAAGGATTGACATGAAGGATTTGGAAAATTCTTGCCAAAAGCATACAAAAGAATCTCTCGTGCATTATGAAAAAGTATCCGAGTACGTATGGTTTGTTTGGCAGGGAAATCTTGGCCATTACTTCGATGGTGCACTACCATGGAGGGCAATGTTATATTGATGGTGCAAACATGAATGCCATGGTGGGTTACACAGCACCTGGATGTATTGGGGGCGATGTGTGCCAGATTAATCTCCACAAAACGTTTTCAA